AGAAGGTATATTCGGGCTGTAAGACAAAAGAGAAGTCTCACTTTCTTTTTTATCTGCTGCTGTCGGTTATGAAATTGTTTCTAGGCGTTGATATTTCAAAGAGGTTTGCAGTAACAATGATAAAATATTTGGCATCTTATATGATAAGGATCATTTTGCTTCCTACATCACCATAGATACTTAAGCTACTATCTACACTTAGTAAGTAGTTCTTATGGCACCTTAATCTTACTCGTACATTAGTAGTCCACCAAGATGCTTACCAAAAGCATCAAAGCTCTTTACTAGTTATCTATTTTATAAATAGTAAAGAAAGCACATAAAAACAAATGGATATGGCATCTTCATCCAATTCACTCACTCAACGTCACAGTAATCCCCACTTATTTTAAGAGGCATCAACGTCGTACTAAACTCGGATTGAAACTAACAGCTTCGGACGACAGCTCCAAATTTGTTGGGGTTGTAACTCCACGTTTGAGATAGCCTTTAATCGCCGGAGTGTATGGAAAACGAATAGTAAGATCACTAAAAGGCCAAACCAGCATGCCTATTATGCAAAAAATCATTTTGACAATTATGTTTGCAAATTTCGCACTTGGTTCACAAACCACCACAACATACTTTTTTGTACGTTTCCTTTTTAATTAAATTTATTATCTCAATTCTATTGGGGCCTGTCCTGGTTGGACCCCTCTCCATTAAGATCAATCCGATGGACAGTTGCTGATGACAGTACTATACATGCAGGAATTCAGAGTTTCATGCTACCGGCGAGCTGGAGGGAAGAAGGCTAGTAGCGACTGTCTCCCTGACGAGAGACCTGTATCACTGCAATTTAAAAGATGACGTCGAGTAGGTTGAATGTGCTTCCTATGCAACGCCCGTATGAGTACATAAAGGAGTATGTTCAACATGAAAAAAGTCAATACCCTACTGGCACGGAATCTGGGAACGTCGCATCACACCGATGCCTAAGTCGAGCAGACGTGGCACCGAGGTAGCACATCAGAGCATAGAAAACACTATACCGTTGTGCGGAAGAAATACGTTTGATGCCATACCAGAACGCTCATCTCGCTCGGTGCACGACGCCAGCAGCAGCCACGGCCGATGGGTTCGCCACCCGTCTCCCAAGAATGTTTTCAAGGCTAATGATAGATAAGATATACGAAACTTTTGACGGACAAGGTGAATATCATGTGCTCTACAGTAACCTTGACTACGGTCTTCAAGGTCATTTGAAGGTAAAATGAATTTCTTAATTTTTCGAAATATTTTGTCCCCTTCATAGCTTTCGGCAGCCATGAAATGGCCTTGAAGGTCACAGTCAAAAATAGGAATTTCAAGAAAACTGCCTTGACCTTGACCTAGTCAAGGCCACCTTGGACACCCTGTATATAGTCACGTTCTCTTCAGTATCCCTACTTGCAGATCTTGAAATTCTATCATATGTATATGGATGGCGTATTGCTCTGAAATACAAACACTTTTAACAACTGGGTTCTGGTGAGATTGGCCACACTGCTTAAGGAGTTTGTACAAACATTCTAGATTTTCCCTCGACTGACTTTACTTTTTGTATTCTGTATACAGTGTTGATCGCCATAGTCCATGTTCGTTTCGTTTTATCTGGAATAAGAAGGAAATGGGAAGGGAATTCTCTTTTTGCCTCTAATCCTCTTATGAGGGAGATATTTCCAGATAATAAGCCCGCCTATCGAAACACTGGTAGTGGTGGACTGTGATAGACTCAAGATTTTGTGGATTTTTTCTTTATTTAGAAAGGTTGAGAAAGAATGTAACGAAAAAAATGCCACCAATCAAACTACATTCAAAAAAATACGCAATTAACATAAGTTTTCAGAGTAAGGTTTGAAAACTTTAAGCAGCTTGAAGACTGGAGTTAAAAATGATACATGCAGGATGCGGCGGCATAACTTCAATAAAACCCATTGTATGCATCAGAACATGTTTATTTGTCTTTTATAATGTAATGCCTAAAGTTTTCTTTTACATGGTTTTGAAGATTAAATCGGATAGGTGACGTCTACCATTCTCCATAAACTGGCGTTTGTCATGAGTGTTGCCAGCATCGTAGGCGTTATATTGGCAATTTCTTCCTGGATGTTGTTCTTTAAATCAGGTAGGGTTCTTGGACGGTTCACATAAGCACATGGTTCCAAAAAAACCCATAGAAAAAATGACAAGGGGCCAAGTCGGGAGAGCGGGCCGGCCACTCCAAATTGAAATGAGGCGCTCTTAGAAGTCTTGGCTCAAATCCTCCATCGATGCTCTTTTAGAGTGTACCGTTGCACCGTCTTGTTGGAACCAAATGTACCCTGACTCCAACAGATCTAGCAGTCGAAAAAAAATCCTGTAACATTTTCCTCAAACCAGAGACCAATAATTTCATCTGAGGAAATTGCACACCACACTGTGACTTTATTTAAATGCAAAGGCCTTTGATGCAATTTCTGAGGACTGGCGTCAGCCCAGTAGCGCATATTTTGTTTGTTGACGGATAGCAATAGCAATAGTGTCGTCAGGACGAACTTCGAGAAGACGCTGACATGCGTTGATACAAGAATTGAAGTCACGTTCACAAAGTTCCTCAGACTTGCCATCTTGTAAGGATGTAAATGAAGATCACCATAAAGAATTCTCCTCCCAGAACGATCGGAAAGTCCAAGGGCAGTCGCATGTTTGCGCGCAGAACGCCGTGGTGATTGCAACATTGAAGCTCTCGCTGTCTCAATATTTTCAGATCGCGTGAGTCCAGTTCTTCGTCGTGTAGCAGTTGCAGTTAGTCTGAAGGAAGTGACGTGACCAACGTAACAAATGATTTCCGGTCCGGGACAGGGGCCAACAGAGCTAGATTAAAGCAATTCCGATTGGCTTGCTGTGTTGCGATCACGGAACATCCTCTCGAAAAGTAGGGCTCAACGGCAAAAGCTAGCTGTTCCAATGTATAATGGCGACAGGACTGTATCGGGGCAAGACTTTATAGTACCGCCTCTCGAACGAGACCACTAGCGCTCCGCTACGACATCAACCGACTGAAGTAATCTTCCTGGAACGTCGAAAGTGCGCTTTTCTTCCAGTGCCCAAAGCCTCGGGAATAAGAGTGTCACTTGTCATTCTCATCATTTATTATTCGTTTACTTTATTTGATTACAAAGAAGTGGTTAAAATTGCTAGAACATATATCTTTAACGATAACTGGTACCACCTCACATCTATAGGGTTTTTTATAATAAATACATTACATGACTCTGTAATAATAATAACGCTCTAAAATCAAATTGTCACAGTATTCCAGAGTAAAATTTCATCTGTCAATCTACATTCCATTACTGTTTGCGGTATTACATTACAAGTAGTATATATACCCCATACAATATTAGATATGTTTTTTTTCAATTTCGCATATGTCGACGTTTGACCCACATCAGACTCGAATTCAACCAGAATGTAAAAAAAATATCGCGGAAATAGTGCCTGTGGAAGCCTCTAAATAAACCTTCAACTGAAATTCATTCTGGTTTACCCTGAAAAATCTCCAACCAAGTCCAATTTAAAAGGCGACACGGTCGCACTTCAGCACCGTAAAAATGCCGCAATAAATAAAAATCCTGCAGCCCGTCACCCTTCAGGCTGTGCCTAATTGAATTTAAAATGAGTCCACATGTGTTTCTAAAAACCGACGGTTCAACCATATCGTACGGAACAGGAAAGCAGACTTCTCTGAGGCGAGCCCTTTCTCACCCCAATGAATTCAAAATGACCAATTAATTACACATACCCTTGGTTCTTTTGATTCTGGATTAGCTCAAAAACAGGCCCACAGACGGTGCTGTCATGTGGGATATTTTACTTTGTTATTTAAATAGAATCAAGTTGATCTTCTTGATAGTGCGTTATTAACAATTACGAAATTGTTTAAAATAAACTAAGCTAACACTCCGAGATGTTGCAACCCGGCCATTTAAAAATGGTGGTCGACACGTGAATATACGCGAGAAAGAAAATACGACAGCCTCGAAAATGGTTTTATTTCAATGAAGTCTTATACACAAAGACATATGTAAGGGGAAGTTGTGCCTAAAATTTCCCTAATAATGTGATAGGCAGCTCCGATGACATACAGGATAGGGTAGCATGCCTTCCTTTTCTAAAATGCTCGACATTCAGTTGGTTGATGACGTAGCGGAACGCTCGTGGTCTCGTTCGAGAGGCGGGACTATTAAGTTTTCTCCAGATGCAGTTCAGTCGCCAACATGCGTTGGAGCCGTGGAGAGCGTGCTTTTGCTGTTGAGGCATACTTTTCGAGCGAATGTTCTATGATTTTGAGAATTGCTCTAACTTAGCCATGTTGGCTCCTGTCCCGGACCGGAAACCAATTGTAAGTGGGTCATTATGTTCAGAGAAGCTTTAACTGCGACAAGACGAAGAACTGAAGTCTCTCGGAACATTGGATCAGCTGAAAACATTGAGGCAGTCAGAGATTCAATATTGCGATCATCAACGCGTTCTGCGCGTATACATGTGTTTGCCCTTGAACTTTCCGATCGTTCTGTGAGGAGAAGTTTTCATGATGATCTTCATTTCCATCTTTACAAGATGGCAATAGTACAGCAGCTTTCTGAACATGACTTCAATACTCGGTTGAACGCATCTGAACGTCTTCTCGAAATTGTTCCTGACGATGCTATTTTTTTTTAGCAATGAACCCCATTTTGCATTTTGTGCGGATCCGCGCTACCGGGCTGACACAAACCTCCGAAAATTGCATCAAAGGCCTTCGCACTCACCTAAAGTCACAGTGTGATGTGCGATTTCCTCAGCTGGAATTAAAGTTTTTTTCAGGAAAATGAAGTTGCACTAACCAGTGAAGTTCGATCGGTATGTAAACATATTCCAGGAAACTCTTTCACACAGCTAGATGAGTTTGATTTAGTGGACATTTGGTTCCAACAAGATATTCAGGTCAATTCTGTTTGCATCTGGCCTAATACCCTCTCCAGACTCCCGCGCGAAGCCGCGAACTACCTGCGACCCATGAGTGTGGAACCCATTCGCGTATTCTTCGCGGCTTCACGTCGCGTTCGCGCGTCGTTCCCGTTTGCTGTCGGTTTTTCGTCCCGCGACAAAGGGTTCGCAAGGCGCTAACATATTGCGAACATGACTAGGCTCCTCATTCGCTGGTGGCTCAGTTGCCTCATAGCGAGTGACGGCAGTGGTTGTGTTTTTCTTTATGGATACGAATTTTCGATTTGTCGTGAAAAATGAGTTTTAACTGGAGTAACCAATTGGAACTATCATTTTTGGAATATTTTCGTGCTGAACCGGTACTGTGGGACACTAAGATAAAAGACTATAGGAATAAATTTAAAACTCATGATGCATGGATGCGGATAAGCTCAGTGATGGAAATCCCAGTGGATGAATTGAGAAAGAAAAAGATTCTTTAATGTCAAGTTATAGGAGTTATAAGAACAAAGTCAAAAAGTCTATTCAATCGGGAGCTGGTGCCGATGATATATATCAGCCTATTTGGTTCGCTTATGAAACTATGGATGAGTTTTTGGGAGGTACCCTCAAGTGTAAAAATAATGTTGACACGGTAAGTGAGCTATATGTTTTATTAATAAAGTACTTAAACATTACTTAGATATTTGGTGAATTCGTTTCTTATTTCTGTGGCATCTTTTGGTGATCGCCGAGCTACGTTCCTCAAGTTACGGATAGCACAAGTTTTTTCTTGTTCTTTCCTCCATGATCCAGGTTGTATAAGTACTGAATCATCATCATAAATGTCAATAAATCCGGGTGGTGTATAGATACACGAAGAAGTGGAGCTTCGTCTCAAGAAATTATGTAGTAATATACAAGTCATTGTTATAAGGGTAGCTTTTTCTGATTGTAATGGAATCGGCTTTCTAAACACTCTAAATCAGGCAGTCATCATACCAAAAGTATTTTCCACCACCACTCGAGCTGAAGATAATCTCTTGTTAAATTCACGTTTTTCTGATCCTATGTTGTGCTGACCAAGATAGGGCTTCATTAAGTGTTCTGAAAGTGCAAAGGCTCCATCTCCCAAAAAAATGTATGGAACATCAATATTTGAACCGGGCAAAGGATGCGGCGGTGGTAAATTGAGCTATTCGTGCATATCTTGTTCCATAACAAAGTATTGGTGAAAACTCCACCGTCACTTATTCTGCCTTGGCAGCCAATGTCAGCAAATATGAAGTTGTACTGACTATCAACTAATGCCAATAATACTATACTGTAGGTTCTTTTATAATTATAGTATTCAGAGCCACAATTGAACGGACAGTCGAGAACAATATGTTTGCCATCTATTGATCCTATTGCTCGAGGAAACTTCCTTGCAAATCCTTTCTCAATACAAAGCCATTCTTCCGGACAAGACGGTATCTGCAAAAAAGAAAACATAAAACCTTCGTCTGACACCACAAAGTGATAGAAACTCTTCAATATATATATATATATATATATATATATATATATATATATATATATATATATATATATATATATATATATATATATATATATATATATATATATATATATATATATAACCTTCATGAAATTGTATGTTTTTTTTTAGGAACGCGGGTTGGAGGAGACTCAAGGAGCAAATTCCGAACCAACTGAAGAGATACTTGAAGAGACGAATGAAAATCAAAGTCAGTCTATGGACACCCAAAGAGATGGCAATCAGACAATCCGCCGACGCCAAAACCCTTCGGAGCTGATTCATGCTGGAAATATTGTTAAAGATGCTCTTGCCACATTCAAATCCGCGCTAAACAGAAATGAATCATCAACCCATCTTAGCGATGATTGCGATTTATATGGCAAATTATTGGCAAATAAGTTGCGAAAGCTATCTGAAATTAATAGATTAAAGTTTATGCACGACATTGACGGCATGTACCTACGATACCAATTGGAGGAGACGCCCTCCCTGCAAACTCCATCGCCAACATATCCCAGCATCGCCCACAACTTTAATGAATCAAGGCCTGGCACATCATCATCTACGTATTCAGAGCCTACCAATCGCAGGTGACTCAGCAAACTTATTGTCAAAATAGAAAAGCAGTATCAGCCCCACCTTCTAAGATTATGATTCAATCCAACCAGGTGATTCGCACACCTGATGTTGAATATCCTGTCCTCCATATTCCGAACCAAGTCACCGATAACCCAGAATCTAATCAGGCAATTAATATAATCCAAACAGCATTCGACTTGACTTAAATCACATGAAAAACATTGAATGTACGGCTAAATTTGCCCGTATCCTGATATCAATTTATATTTTTGATCTGATGTCAGATGTATATGTTATATTTATATTAGCCACTGGTATTCGGTACTCACATATTTATAGATATAACCAGTCGTGTTAGATTTAAGATTATTGTATTACATACGTGTGTTTTCAATATACTTAAACAAATTTTCATTAAAAAAATATTTTCTTCGATACTTACTCTTATTTCATCCTTCAATGCCTGACATAGGGCTAGACAAACTTCTGGAATAATTTCTGATATTATTTGTGGTGATATTTTGAACAAAAAATGAAGGCTTTCATAGCTATCTCCTGTGGCTAAGTATCGCAATGTTATAGCAAGACGTATCTGGGCAGGAATAGCTTTTCTTAATTGGGTGTCTTGTTTTGAAATTTGGGATGAAATTTGATTTAGTAAGTATTCAAAATCATTTAACGACATCCGGGAAAACTTTTTGAATTCACCGGAAGGTTCAGCAACTAATTCATCTATTTGCTTCTCCATAACAGCACTGTAACAAAAAGCAAAGACTAAAAATAAGGTAGAGGTCAAGTTATCGAGTATTAGCCCTTGTAGTACATGATAAGTGAGTGCAGCATGAGCAGAATATTTCACTTTTCAAGCCTTCATCACAACTGTCATTTTATACAGCTAAAAGTGAAATACTTGTTTTTTAGTATCTGCGATGGCAGTAAATATAAGACACTGAGCTGCGTGCGACCATTATTATCTTGATATTAATTACCTGGTTCTATTTCGGTGGATGGTGGTGATCCACCATCTTCGTTTTCTCCACTTCTTCTTAATTGTTATTCTTTTACTTATATCGGCGTAATTATAAATTGCCAAAGCGCAAAGTAGCCCAGCAGCAGCAGTAGCAATTTCACCGTCCATACTCGTCTCAAGCGCGAACTATACTGTGAAGCAGGCGCGAACATCTGCGAGTGTGGAACTGTAGAACACTTTTCGGGTTTCGCACCGCGATTCGCGCCGCGATTTCACGCCGTGATCCGCGCGGGAGTGTGGAGAGGGTATAACATATTGCTATCTTAACCATATTGCTCGAACTGAAACTATTAACAAGACTGTTTACCAAATTCATATTCTGTTCACTACCCTTTGGCAAGTATTGCTAGGAGTTTCTAGAGCTAGCAATGTTGTTACAGATAAAGATATCACGTGAGCATTTCAGTTGATGCTAATCTTGGCAACACTGGCGAAACCTTTCAGCTTCTTACATTTTTCTGTTCTCTGTCAAATCCTGTCTTGTCACCCTTGTCATATCCGACCGGTCATAACCTCATTTTATAACACGTTTATAACCGACTGCGACTAAATTATTTCTTTGCTGCCAACCTGTGCCTTGTTCCTTGTATTGTTGTATACAATTCGTCATGGCGAACTCAAGGAGCAAACGAACCAATAAAGATCAAATGGAGATGATAATCAATTTTCTTGGGGAAAACCGGGTACTTGTCACACAAAAAATGCACCCGTTGAACACGGGTGACTGTGAACCTTTGTGGGATGAATTGACCGAGAAGTTGAACTCTGTGGAGAACGGTGCAAGAAAAGATAAGAAACAATGGAAAACTGTAAGTACCTAATCGTATTATCGAAATACTAAAGATAAAAAGATGTTCATTATTATCATAATATTCTTTTAGTTTCTGTACGAGTGGAAATCAAAAACTAAGAAGAAGGCCCGTATCCATAAGGCTTCCATCATGAAAACGGGAGGTGGTGGCTACACTTGTAAAGACCTGACAGATTTGGAAAACCGACTGTTGAATGTATTAGGGGGTTGGATTCATGTACTAGGATGCCCCAGTTTAACAAATATTGAGCCTGGACTACCTGCAGGACTTGAATTAATGGATCAAGATGTCACTGAGATACAAGAAGGTGCAATAGAGCAGCATGAAGCTGAAAGAGAAGAAGAAAATACCGATGAGATATCTACACCAATACCATCACAAACACCAAGACGTGGAACAGGTAGGTTGTTAGTATAATGCTAATATGGTATCGCTAAGGGGCATCCGCTCTTAAAATTCCAAGGGAATATCAACCTGTTTGTGTAATTTGGTAGCCTACTATTTGCAAAATGTTTTTTTTTATTGGTGCCTTAAAAATAAAGGAGCAAAGCATTCACATGTTAAGCTTGCACTAGTTTAGTTATTCCACTTGATGAAATTTAATTCATACAAAAAATATTTTGTTTCCTAACTTTCTTAGAAGTTAAGTTTGCTTGAACTATACAATTTTTTACAAAGATATGTTGTTTGAATAATCAACTGTCTCTCATTCAGGAGAGAATTATTTTCTGACAAGAAGTTACAAGTGATTCACTGACCAAAATATGATTTAAACAAATAACTTGATTATTTAGTTGATTTTTTATACCAAGCTATATACGTATATACATGTATGTTCTGACTGTTCTTATCAAGTGTATTGTTTTTGCAGCTCCAAGGAAGAAACAAAAGAGACCGCATGTACAGAGCACACAGCTGCACGAAGCAGCTGAACTTTATGCACAAAGCACCAGCGAAATGGCTGAAGCTGTGAAGGTGATGGCTGGTGCAATATCACAGTTAGCTCAAGGGCTATCTGATATAGCAATTGCTCTAAGCAACACATCAAAAACCTGATGTCATGTAATAAAAATGAAAATACTAAAATCTGCATTAAATATTTATTTTAGAGAACATTTTCTTACATAATTCACCTGATCGCAGTAGACAACTGATTTACAAGTTGCTGGCGAATAAACCTGCCCTCTGTGAGAAAATCATTACTTGGAATTGCAGCATCATCAGGATGGCTGCTGTCAGTAGTCTGATCAGTGTTGTCATGAGAGTCGCCATTATCTTCATACTCTTGTTCTGCATTATATATTCTGCAAATATTATGCAAAACAGCACAAGCATAAATTATCATGCCACTTGTATCATGAGAATAATGAAGAACCCTGTCTTTCCTTAAACATCTAAAACGGGCTTTCCAAATACCAAAGCCCCTTTCAACCACATTGCGTGTGTTGATATGTATACTGTTATAGTGAGCTTCGGGGGTATTAGCTCTTGTTGCGAGGATTGGTGTCAGCAGCCACGGCTGGAGAGGATATCCTGAATCACCAAGTAGGTAGCAGTTTCGTCTTCCATCTTCATATTTTTGCTTAAGATGTCTCTGTATGTTTGAAGAGTCAAATATTGCTGCATCATGGACTGCTCCAGGATACTTCGCATTTACGTTAGTAATCATTAGGTGAGAGTCGAAAATCTGTAAAATATTGCGAATTTATGTTCTCAGTCAAGGCTTAACAAAAAATGAACTTACTGCCTGAACATTTACACTGTGGAACCCTTTTCTATTAATATATGCTACTGATGGATTAATAGGATCATCTGTTTTGGGTGGCACTATCGCAATATGTGTACAATCGATAACGCCTACAACATTTGGGAATTGATGATTCTCTAAAAATCTGAAAATTGAAAAACTCATGATATGATGTGGCCATTATGTAGAGAAAATACCTACATACCCGTCTTTGACTCTCCTAACTTCTTCTGAAGTTGTTGGAAACCTGATATATCGAGGTGACAAATGTAATGCAATTAGTCTGCTTATTTTGTTTATAAGTCTGCTCATTACAGGTTGGCTGATTCCGATATTAAAGTCGTGTCCTACGGTTGTTTGATAACCGCCATGGGCATAAAATAATAAACTTGAAAAGACCTGAAAATAATTTGTTGAAGATTCATAGAGAAAATAGATTCTATTTAGAATGAATTGTGAAACGTTACAAATTCATATTACATATCAGTTTGATTATACACATATATGTACTATTACTAATCATTATTATTATTATAGTAAAATGTTGATTATTTTGTTACCTGCAGATGAAAAGGTACTGTGTCTCTTCTGGTAGGTTCATCAACGTATCCTTGTAGCTGAGTAATTAGATCCGTTGCTGCTACTTTATTCAGACGAAACAATTTTTTGAACTTGTCTTCAGCAATTTCAAACGGATTACTTGCGTCTCTGATATTTCGGAAGTGCAAGCGTAAACTTCGACTGCAATGTTTGTTGGTCATGAAGTTACACAAATAAAAAACTGTATGTTAATCCTCTTACCTAACTAGAACGTTTTCAAATGTATGGCGAAAGTTTACATCAAAATTCACAAAAACCGGATTAACGGCCATTTTTCTGCAATAACAATGTTGTTACATTGATAGCAAGTACTTAAATACTATTTGCCGAGATAACAAGATCGAAAAACAAGAACTATTCAAAATGACAGATCATCTGGCTAAAATATATTGAACAGAATAGGACAATCGCAAACATTGTTAAATCATAGCAAGATCTCTTCATAATAACAAGTAACAATATTGCTATAGCTAAACAGAATTGGCCTGATTGTAACGGCACACACCGTAAGAGCATCAATGGCTGTTTTGAGGGAACATTCATTTCCCAAAACGCCTAATCTCAATTAGGGGCGAATAGGTGTGGTCGGCCTGCTCTTCCGATTTGGCCACTTGTGATTTTCTTCTATGGGTTTTTTACAATCCCGAGTCCAAGGACACTACAAGGTTTGAAGACCAACATCCAGGAAGAAATGGTCAACATAGCGCTTGCTATGCTGATAAGAGCCATGACCAACGCCAGTTTATGGAGAATTTGATTTGATCTTCAAAACTGTGTAAAACAAAACTGTAGGCAAATTTAGGTATCGCGTCGTGAGTTAGCGTTTTTGAAAAACGTTTTACAGGCGATTTGATACACTTTATTTACTTAAAGTACAAGTATCGTTTCAGGCAACAATGGTTTTGTTACCAAACCTAAGACTACGTGAGCTTACAAGCGATTGACTAATAGATGTAACCTAAAGTACCTAATAGCTGATGTAAACTAATGCCTAAAGGAAACAAACAAGAATTTATAATATGGGATTGTTTATAAAGATAAGATATAAGTACACCAATTAGGGAGATATCCGAGGGGCTCTCGCTATATGTATAACTGGCATGTCGACTCGTGGAGCATGCCTCTGAGGAGATGATTTATCTCATCCGAAGCTAGCTGCATAAGCCATGGTAGCGTTCAGGGAGAATAAGATTAAGGAGTCATTCTGTACGATCTGTAGATTTCAACGGAAATATTATTCCAAAATTTCCTAGTTTGACTGGACTATGGAATTTTCTGGATTTGATTCGATAGCTTTCGACTTGAAAACGATTAACTTTAGAGACAAGTTACTAAGAAAATTTTTCAGTATAATTAAAAAACTCATTACAAAACTTTATCTGGAGAAAAAAAAAACGATTATACGTTATTATGAAAGAGACAATGGCGTCAAGTATGTTGATTATGCACTTCACACGCAACGCCCTTATCAGTACATAAAGTTGATCACAAAATGGGCCATCTGAGAAAGTCAGTCAAACAGGTCCATACAATTAGTCCGCGGACATTCCTTCCCTGACTTTCCGACAGTGCATCTCGAAACGTCTGCTCTCCCCGATACCTAACTCAGGCAGACGTGGCACCGTATGATTCAGGGCTAATGTACAGAAAAATCTATGATGTGTGAAATATATCTAACAGGTGCATAGAATTACCGATGTTGTACAAATATACCAGTATCAAAAAATTGAGATAAACCCCCCCCTACCCCCTTGCAACCCCCACGTTCCAGTTTTTCTCAAAAATGATCAGGATCCTTGAAACCTCAAAAAACAAAGCTTGAGTGGTGATTTTCACTTTTTTGTTCTAAGCCTTTTTCTCTGCCGTCTCTGGATTGATTTTTAAAAAATAAAGCTTTTGCGTCCTTGGAAAGGTAATAACATTGTGTGAAAATTTCATCAAAATTCGAGCGGTACATCTCGTCAAATATAGCTAGAGACTTGGAAATGTTGCCGTCTGCGTAGACATATGGAAGTCAAATGACACAAATATCAGTGGCAGCGAGAGTGTTAATTTGTAAAGAAACCTCTGAAATGGAACTTATTTG